TTTGACAAGTCAAATATACTAACAAACCTCAATAAAAACTCATATTTCAACATAACATTCAAAAACCCATTTTTTCAATCTCACATAAATCATTCATCTCTTGGTTTTAATCCTCTTTAACCCTTCCTTAAGCCTCTATAACACTCAATGTTTCAATACTAGCCATTTAACTAAAGGAAAAACCAACTTGGAGAAACTCACCTTTGGCTATGGAGAGAACAGGCACATGGGGAGAAGGAGAAGAGAAGATAACTTAGCTTTTTTTTTTCTCTCTTTTCCCCCTTTTTCTTACTCTTAAATACCCTATTAAAATGAATTTTAAATCCATTTTCCTCTAAATGACTAATATACCCTTTCATTCTTCCTTTCTTACTACTTGGTATTACACAAAATTTCTAAATCATTTTCTTATACTATACCATTTATTTAATTTAATCCTCCTGATTTTTAATTTCCTTCAATGTAGTCATTGACCAACTATTTGGGGCATTAAATCTCAAATTAACTCTTTTAGCGGTTGTATAATTATTTTCCTTAAAAATTTCAAATTATCATATATTTTATTTTACTTTTATTAATAATTTATTTTATCTTCTAGAAAATTTTAAATACCCGTCGTTTTTATTATAAAATTCTACTTTTATCCATGCACGGAAGACTTTGTATTTTCTACATGAGTTGTAATTAATAAAATGCCGCGAAGATTCTATCTAAATCTTCATGAAATTTGCATAAAAACCCTTCAATCTATCTAATATCAGTGGATGATACGCATATTTAAGTATATTGATAATTAATGTCAATGTTGATGTACTCATAGTTTTTTATATCATATGTTCCTACCTTCAAGTGATATAGGGGGAAATGGATGATGATCAAAGTCGTGACATGTGGATAAGACATTAATGTACATAATTTAGGGGTGTTGGAGTTAGTATTTTCTTGATAGTCTAATGTGATTATAAGGTAGTATTTATTCAGAATTTTCTTAGTCATTGATAATGCGTACAAATCCGCAAACGTAATTGTTTGAACTCAATACCTTTAGGAAGAATAACTCTCTTTAACTATTGGGCCCACTTGATAGAGTTAGCATTCTAAATATACTATGGTGTTTGTAGTGAGAAATGGAAATAGGATTTTAGGAAATGTAAAAGTAAGAAGAAAAATCAAATAAGGTTATTAGGGTTTTTATAGGTTAATATATGAGAATAATATTCAAAAGAATATATATTTTTATATAATGGTATCAAAATAATACTGTCGTAACCGTCTTTTGGGTGGGCCAGGAATTGGGCTTCGACTTGAAAAATTTTTAGAGCCGCCACCGATCATTTAAAAACAATATTTAGGTTGATCGGATACCATCTTACCTGATCTGCGTTTTACCATAAATATGTCGAATTCGGGAGTCGGTTACAGTCAAGGAAGGATTAGCACCATTGAACTGCTCTTTCGGTACCATTTAATTTGTCGGTTGTCTTAATTGCGAAAAATTGAAATTTAAATTAAAATTTAAAAAACTCGATTAAATTACTTACCTTTGATTGATTAAAAAATTCCCCTAAAAAGTCACAAATATTGTTAGATTGTAAAATAAAAATAAATATGAAAAAAGAATAAAAAATATTAATATAATAATAATAATAATAATAATAAAATAAACAAAATAGATAAATAAAGATAAATAAAATTGAGTAAAAAATAATGAAAATAAAAAAACGAAAAAATAAATAAATAAATAAATAAATAAAGGGTTTAATTTTGAAATAAAAAATAGAAAATAAATGTTAACAAAAAAACCGAAAAATAAATAAATAAAAAAGGATCAAATTGAATTAAATTGAAATTTATGGACTAAAACTAATGCAAAAAATGAATTGCAAGAGAAAAAAACAAAATTAGGGGGTTAATTTGCAAAATATAAAAAGTATAAACATGGATTAAATTGAATAAATTGAAAATTTAGAGACAAAATTACAACATGTGACCAAAAAGAATTACACATCAAAGTATGAGGGACTGCGAAAATAATTTAATTATTTGGTATTTGCACAAAGGTTCTCCGGCTATAAATAGCCTAAAACCCAAAAAAACTTCATTTTTCACCCATTTCACAAAAAAACTTCTTTCCTCTCCAAAGTTCTCTCTCCCAAAATCGACCGGTCGAAGGCCATTCACTCTCCGCTGCACCGCCGTCACTCGCGACAGCCAGAAAAAAACTAACCTAGCCCGAAATACTCCCCTCGAGCCTGTGAACCCAAAACCGACTTCTAAATCTCCAAAATAAACCCCAATAATCGAAGATCTAAAAAGAAACACTCGGTTCTCACCTTTTTTCGATGAAACCCTTCGACTTCCGGTGACTGGCTCCTCCCGGTTCCGATGAGACTTTTGCTTTCCCGGTGTTCTCCCCCGAAACAAAGTTTTAAACTTTGTTTATCTTCACTTTCGGTTTCAAAAGTTTTCGCCTTTGGGTTTCTAACTTTTACTGAATGCTTGTTTTTTTGTTGTTAATGGCTTGTTGTTGCTCGAATGTTTCTTGTTTGTGTTTATTGTTGATATTTGGCTTGGGTTTCTCTCTGTAATTTATTGTGGTTGGTGTCTTCTCTCGTCGTGTTCGGCTCCGGTTCTTATATAGCCCCCCGTTGGGAGGTTATTTCCGATGGCTACGGGAGTCACTCTCCCCATTCCCGATTTACTCGGGGTGTGAACATTGCTGGCTAAAATCCCGGGATGGTTCAGTCCCGAGCTTCCCCGATTTTCTCTGCCGAAATCTCGGCTGGTTGGTGTGCATGGCCACCGGCGTGTGGACCTCACGCGCCCCTTGAGTCCCTCATATACGATGCCCTTGCTAAAATATGAAACCCTAATTTCCTTTGGGCAGAACCGGATCTGCTGGGTCAGGCTACCCGGTTAGGCCATGTTTCTGGACCTTAGACCTGGACCAAAATAAAATAAAATTAATAAAATAAAATAAATCATATAAGAAATAGAAAATAAAATAATCATAATCATAATCATAATAATATAAAAAATATTTCCCAAAACTATATAATATATATATTTTCAAAAATATTTTAAAACTATATATATATATATATATATATATTTTAAAATGTTTTAAAAACTATATATTATATATATTTTCAAAATGTTTTTAAAAACTATATATTATATATATTTTCAAAATGTTTTTAAAAACTATATATTATATATATTTTCAAAATATTTTTTAAAAAACCATATATTATATAAGTTTTCAAAATGTTTTTAAAACTATATAATATATATATATTCGAAATGTTTTCAAAAACTATATATTATATATATTTTCGAAAACCGATTTTTAAAAAGTATATTATATGTTTTCAAAAAAAGTTTTCTAAAAAAAAGTTCAAAAATTATACTATATATATATATATATATATATATATATATATATATATATATATATATATATATATATATATATATATATATATATATATATATAATAAAAATAAAAAAATTGGGCGAAAATGAGTGTCTATAAATACTATTCATAAAAATAACATTCTCTTGACAAATGTGTACCATATTAAAAGAGTCTTTCAAAAGGCGTATTTTGTAAGACAAATCTTTGTCGATATGACAGGTCTTTCAGAGACGATATTTCTTATACTAGCGTTATTCATAACCAACATGAAAGAATGAGAATAAGAAACCAAAAACTTAAAAACAAAATGTATGAAATTTATTCAAAAAGATATAACGCGTGATATACATATCTAGGACACGGTTTTGCATGAGCTAGCTAGATGACGATGACAACGTGTGTACAGACTTTGTCCTCAATCACTCAACGTATGTATGTTTAGAAAGACTAAATTTAAACAATTTTAAAAAATCTTATATGAATAATGTGAAATTTAAGAATATAATGACAGAAATCTTGTTGATTTTGAATTGTCAAAAACATTTCATAAACTTCATTAGTCTTGTATTAATACAACCACCAAAGATAGTTTTGGATACTTGGATCTTTGACTATTTTATAAGGTGACAATTATCTTTGATTGTCATACTGATATGAGTCCGATCAAATTTAATAATTGTGTTTGACAATGAAAATCAATAAAATTTATCATGATATTCTCAAATCTCTTAGATTGTTTATATATGAATTTTTAAAGTGTTTAAATATAGTTTTTTTAAGTATGAGCTCATTGAATGATTGAAGATAATACTTATAAATGTACACCGATGTCATCATTCGGTCGACTTGTCCTCTCGTACTGCAAAAACATATTTCTAAAATTTATTACGCTCATTATATATTTTTGAATAAAATGCATTTAAGTTTTTATCCATTATTTTTACTTTTCTAATTTAAGAGTAAAATATACAAATGATCTCTTATCTATAAAATGATGTTTTGTTGAGTCCTCAAACTATTAAAGGTTACAAACTGATCATTTGACTATTCATATGTTTCAAACTCGTCATTTTTCGTTAAAAATTTCAATGACATTTGAGTTGGATGATAACTTGTTAACTTTGATATGATAAAAATCATATTTTAATTATGTCTATTAGCACCGATATAATTTTCAAACATCGACTTGATGACATAATATTTCAAGAATTAACTTGACGACATAATAAACGAAGATTATATCCACAAAATACAACTCAAACAATTTCGAAATTAAATTTTATCATATCTTTATCAACATGTTAACATCTTGTTCAAATGACTGCCAATTTTTAACAAAGAACGATTAGTTTAGAACATATGAATATTCAAATAATTATTTTATAACTTTAACAGTAGAATGACTTAAGAAAACGTTACCTTAAAATCGAGAAATCAGTCTATAACATTTTTTTAGTAAAAAAAACTCAACAAAACAGTATATCTAGTTGGATGGTCATTTATGTATCTTACCCTTAATTTAATTAATTATTTCCGCCCCAGCAAACAAAGCCGACGAATTTTTCTTGTCATTAGCTTGTTGAGCTTCGTCCCGAACCCTTCTCTTTGTTACTCCATTGAGCCCAGCTTGTCACGCTATATTTGTTCTTAAACTCTGCAAGTCTGGACAAAATGGGGAGTCTTAAATTCAGTAGCTGCTTTCTAATGCTGATTTTCAGGTGACTAGGAAAATTTAAAGCTGATTCCTTTAAAACAGTAAGATTTCAAGTTTCTTTTCATCTGCTATTATTCATGAATAATTCCCCGACTCATCACTTCTCAACTTTGTTTGATTCTGTTAAAGCAAAGTCCACTTCTTTAAAACCCTTAATTGAAGTGAATTCGAGGAGAAAGAATTGGAACCCAATTCCTATTCCCTTCAGAACAATACCTGAACCCATAGGTCAAGACCTTGATTTTGTGAATGTTGCACACAGCCACCTCATTCACTCTGATTGGGATAAGCTTAATGCCTTATCTACCCACTTGACCCCGTTTAGAGTTAAGCATGTTTTGTTAAAGATTCAAAAGGACCATGTTCTTGCTCTTGAGTTCTTCAATTGGGTTAAAACTCAAAACCCCACTTCACATTCCCTAGAAACTCATTCAATGATTCTCCATATTCTCACCAAAAACCAGAAATTCAAACCCGCAGAGTCGGTTTTGAGGAGTCTTGTTGTGTCTGGTTCATTGGAATTTCCTGCTAAGTTGTTCAATGCGATACTGTATTCTTATCGAATATGTGATTCTTCTCCTCGTGTGTTTGATTTACTGTTTAAGACATGTGCTCATGTCAAGAGGTTTAGGAACGCCACAGAAGCTTTTTTCAGGATGAAGGATTATGGGATTTTGCCAACTATTAAATCTTGTAATGCATATTTGAGTTCGTTGCTTGATTTACACAGAGTGGATATTGCTTTTGGGTTCTACAGAGAAATGCGGCGTTGCAGGCTTTCTCCCAATGTGTACACTTTTAATATAATAATTCATGCTTTTTGCAAGTCGGGAAAACTTGAGAAGGCTATGGAGGTGTTTAGAGAAATGGAAAACATGGGTTCTATCCCTACCATTGCATCTTACAATACATTGATTGCAGGGTATTGTAACAAGGGTCTTATTAGTTCGGCCGTGAAGCTTAAAAACTCAATGTCAAAGCATGGAGTGTATCCAAATGTGGTTACATTTAACACCCTTATAAATGGTTTTTGTAAGGAAGGGAAATTACATGAAGCAAACAAGGTTTTGAATGAGATGAAAGCCCTGAATGTGGCTCCGACTACTGTAACATACAATACTTTGATAAACGGGTACAGTCAAGTAGGTAGGAGTGAGATGAGCAATAGGCTTTATGAGGGCATGTTGAAGAATGGAGTTAAGGCTGATATACTGACATACAATGCATTGATACTGGGATTATGCAATGAGGGTAAGACAAAGAAAGCTGCCTATCTGGTTAAAGAACTTGCTAAGCGTGACTTAGTTCCCAATGCTTCAACATTCTCTGGTCTTATTCGCGGGCAGTGTGTTAGGACGGACTCTGACCGTGCATTTCAGCTTTATAAGACCATGATCAGGAGTGGTTTTCATCCAAATCAACACATTTATAATTTGTTGATTTCTACTTTTTGCAAGAATGAGGATTTTGACGGAGCAGTACAGGTCTTGAATGATATGATTTATAGATCAGTGGTTCCCGAGTCTGGTACTTTATCTGAGCTGCACAAGGGACTTTGCCAATGTGGTAAAAATCAATTGGCGATGGCCCTATGCAAAAAACTGGAAGTTAGACACCTGATGCCAAAAGGTTTTGATAAATCCAAAATTATCAGTTCTCAACCAGAAAATGACAACACATTGTGATATGACTCGTAGAATTCCATGTGTTCTAGCTGCAGTGCTCTTCTGCTGTTAAGTTGACATTGTGTAGTTTTATTTGAGAGTATACTTTATGACAACTATGTTCGGTCGATGTGAAGGGAGTCCTATTGTCTGTAACCAAAACAATGGGAAGGTGCCTATTGTTGACAATTGAAACAAATCATCCCCGGTTCTCTTTTAATAAATTTTTTACATTTTTGAATGAGGTAGATTGCCTACAACTATGTTTTCAAAAAAAATCATGGACTGGTTGTAGCACTGGTGCTTTTTTTGGAGGATTCCTTTGTTTTAGTCCTATAAACATTAGGATTATGTTTTTGATTCTCTGTGCATGTTTGAGTTTGTTATTTTTTAAATTTTATAACGCTCACATAGAATGCATAGTTAAATTGCTTGAGCTGTGATTATGTTGGTCCGTTGCCCAAAGCTCTCAGGCATTTCACCTAACACTATCACCATATTTACTTACTCTTGTCTTTTAAATAAAAAGCCACTTTTTTTTTCTCTATGCATCTATCTCTGTGACTTCATATGAGTCTTTTGCTTTAACTATTGTTGTTGTTTTCTCCTATCTCAGAGTGTTCCATGTGTTATCTGTGAATGGATTGAAAGGTGCTGGAATCAAAAGAAGTAATTAACAGTCAAAAAGATTGTTTATATCTTGTATATGATTTGATTCATCTGTTTTAGAATAAAGATTAGAATCCAGTGTTAGCTAATTCCCTAATAAGACGACCATTTCAGTTTCTGGTAGAAGCAATTTCTATCATTATCCTGTCTCCATGCATGTTGTGTTTGGTGTTTTATGTTTCCTTCTGTAAACTTAATTCCATCCTCATTGAAAACAAAAGTGCAGCAATGGTGACTACAATCATTAGAGGTGCTTCAAGTTGTCCTGCTGGTCGGACACCGAAGATCTGTGCGGTTCCATTTCTAATCTCGCTGAATGCTCTTTGACAATGGAGCAAAAGCAAATAATACCCTTGTGTTTAACCAAGAAGATAATATATGAATGTGCTATGGCTTTACATGAAAGTTGTTTTAACAGTAGATATCAGAGGTTCAATCAGAAAAAGCTAATCTCGAAACCTGATTTTTTGTCTATGTTATATGATTACATCAAGCTCTTGTAAATGGATGACCGCTTTAATGTTCTGAATTGTAAGAGGCAAATCAAGATCACCACACTCTTGAAGATTTCACAGCACATCAACTAGATCTTCTTCCTCTAATTTATCATTTCCAGATTTTGCAGTTTTTCTTTTCAGCTCATGGTCATTGATTATGTTGGTATCTTGTCAATCTTTAGATGAATTCTTCCCTGTGCAGGCTTCACCACACACTGAAGTGATGAAGAAATTCCAGCAAAGTAAATATATTATGCTACATCAAGATTCGAACTCTGCAAGATGGAATATCCTTGATCACTCTACCATTTAATGGATCCCAGTCTGTATTCTTTGATACCCGTGAAAACCAGTAGGAAAGTGAAAAGGGGAAAAAATATTCTTTAGATATCAAAGAGATGAGGAAGTACAACTTCGAAGGCAAAATATAATTCAATCCTATAACATTTAATGGAAATGAAGAATGAAATCCTGTGATTAGAAAAAAAAAAGGAAGTAGAAAGTTGCATCTTAATTTACTCTTTTAATCTACAACTTCCATCTTAAAGATACAATAAACCAGGATAAAATAATCTCTCTACTGTGGCAGTACTAAAGAACTATATTTTCCTCATCCAATGTTTTTTTTTAAATTTACATTCTTTTAATTCCCTGGTTCGATTCATGTACTAAAATCAGTTAAAAACAAGCTTTCAAATATATGGTACAAATTATTTTCCAATCAATTTTATTCAAAATAGCCTCTATTTTGCTGCGATCTAAATGCACAAGCAAACACGAAATTTGTTGCATAAACCAACAAATTATGACCTTGTAATCACTAATTTGCAATTAAAATTGTATAAAGGTACATCTCAACAAATACAGTATCTATACAAACGTTACATGGTGAACGAATGGCATGACAAATAGAACAGCATACGTTTGGCAAGGCATTTACCAAGCTCTAACTTCTTTATGTGATAGCATAAGTTGTTCTAAGAAAAACACAATCCTTAGAATAACAGACTTGCCCATCCGGCCGCAAAAGCAAAGCCACCAAACGGAGCGAGGGCGGAATATTTTCTATCCTCGAGATATGCAGCCGTGTAACACCTACATACATACATAGTCCATTATAATTTCACCATTAACAACCCAGATTCTGCATTATTAACGCATAAAAAGATGGAAATGGCCAAAAAAGAGTGCAAAATGCATTTCAAACAAGAAGGGTCTGAATATATTAAACGATATCAAGGTCCAGCCTATTTCCTACAAAGATTTTTTCTGCTATACAAAATGCCTTCTAAGTAGCTATTATGTGAATGGATCCCAGTTGTTTACAAAGACTACTTTGAAGGCATTTACCCACATTCTACATATAATTTGGATGCGGCAAAACTAGCACTAGATATCATGAGGGATGCTAGTGTTAAGTTCAGTGCTTTCCTTAACGGAGGCGACTCTTATCGGAGGAGCATTTGAACACTAGACAGTTAGCGATATAAGCATTTGCAACTGATTACATATTTGTATTGATATACATGGATTCTTCAATTATTTAAACCAAAGATATAGAGAAGTCATAGAGTTTAATAAAATCTGCTATGGTCTGTTTTCAAATTTCAAATTTCCAAGGGAGAGAGAAAATATGGGTGTCGTTTATACAGCCCTCACTACCGCCATCCATCGTTAGTCTTCCACCTTCAGTCGTCCGCTGTCCGCCGTCCGCTGTCCTCCGACCACCGTCCACCGCCGCACCCCGACCTCCTTTTGACGCCGTTTTTCTCAAGGATATTCGTCTACCCACAGCGTTTCCTTTTTCCTGGTTATTTTTGTTAGATTCCTTTTCAATCGGAGCAAATCTACTTGCCTTTCTTCGCCGTTCTTTTCCACCAGCAGTTTCCCGAGTTTCGTTTTAACCATTCCACTGTATTCGCCGGAAGCTCGTGACAAAAACCCAAGTTCTCTACTGTGAATAATCACTGCTGGTCAACGGATCTTCTTGAGAAAAACTTATTTTTCCAGATCGTAGTTACTGGCTCTGGGTTTTCAACGTATGGAGGCATATCTTACCTAGCATTTTACTTCTCTGATTTTTTCGTTCAAATCTGCATTCAAAATCCAGGACAGTTTGTCAGGTCTCTGGGTGTTTTATTTCAACAGTCAGTCATCATGCCAAGTGTTGGAATCCTACCTTCTCTCAAGATGAGACCTCCGGTTCAAGTTCCTTCACCCTCTGCAGCTGCGCATTCTCTGTCATCTCACCCTTCTCATCATGATGAGGTTCGTACTATCTTCATTATGGGTCTGCCTGAAGATGTCAAAGAGAGAGAGTTGCAGAATTTTCTAAGATGGCTTCCAGGTTTTGAAGATTCACATTTGAGCTTCAAGGGAGATAAGCCCAAGGGTTTCACACTCTTCTCAACTGTTAAATTTGCAATTGCTGCCAAGGATGCCCTTCAGAAAATAGTTTTTGACGCTAAGTTGAAGTCCTTGCATATCGAGATGGCAAGGAAGAATCTTGTTGTTAAAAGAGTAGTTACAGATTCTGATTTTGACAAGTATGGAGGTTTTCCTGTTCCTCCAGTACTGCCATTGCCAATTCCAGCTTCTGTAGCATATCCTAGTTTTCATGTGTCAGTTAAAGAAGTTTGTTGCGATGAAAAATCTGCAGTAAATGGTGTACACGAGGGATCCAGGGAGTCGATCACAAAGGGGTGCAGAGTTGACAAGTCTGGATGCTTCACGTTATTTGTTGAAAATTTACCAGAGAAGATTCATTGGGAGAGATTTGGATCTCTTTTTTGCTCTCATGGTCGGGTACTTGATGCTTTTATTCCAAATAAAAGGAATTCAAAAGGAGTTCGCTTTGGTTTTATTCGCTTCGCATCAATCGAAGAAGCAAGGAGAGCGATCTCAAAAAATGAATGGCTCTCGTATCGACGGCAACAAAATTGGTGTTTCTTTCGCTAAATTCAAACCTCGACATTCCTATTGGAGAAAGTCCTCGACAGGTGTTCTTCGCAAGTCCGAGATGGAAGATGATTCGAGGATGAATCATTATAAAGTTGAAGGTGTTATAGATGAAGAAAAACTTCAGGTGTTGAGCAATTGTCTAGTGGGGTGGTGCAAGGACTTTGTCAAAATTGGTCATCTCGCTAGACAAATGCAAGCGAAGGGCCTCACTGGCTTCACCTTAATGAGAGCTGCTGGTAATGCGATTTTAATGATTTTCAAAGACAATGCTTCATTGAGAAGTGTAAAGAACGATATATCAAAGATTCTCGCAGAGTGGTTCTCCTTAGTCGAAGCTTGGTCAGAGAGTTTGGTAATGGAGTGTCATCGAGTATGGTTAGTTTGCGAGGGTGTTCATTTTCACACATGGAATTGGAATAATTTCAAGAACATTGCTGATAAGTGGGGTTTATTACTAGCTATCGACGAAAGTTGTCATTCTCCATCATCCTTTGATCGGGCAAAAATTCAAGTCCTCACAAAGGCTGATGCGAGAATTGATGCGATGGTAGAATTGAAGGTTTGTGACAACTTCTTCAAGGTCATGGTGCATGAGATAGAGCCTTCATTCAAACCAAACTCTTGGGCTCCTGAAGAAGACGAGTCTCATTAGATCTTGTCTCTTCAATTGTGGTTTTGTTTTAGTTCATATGGTTGTAGGTGTTGCTTTTAAATTGCATTATGTTCTGTTGCGCTATTTTATTCCTACTGTTGGTGGTGTAATTAGAAGTAAGGTGATTAGACTGTGGCTTTGTATGAGGTTATATGAGGTTAAGGTGTTTGTTGTAATGGTGTTCATCACCATGAGAGGATATTCCGTGGTGTCTTTTGTATCGGGTATTATTATCAATAAAATTTGAGGTACTCTTTTCTTCCTTCCAATGTTCGTTAACATACTTTAAGTATGTGAACGAATAAAAAGGGAGTTTTTAATGAGACTTCCAACTTCTATAAAAAAAAAAAAAGCTGCTATGGTCTATAAATACTATTATAGAGATTACAGTTATTCACAGCCTTACTAATGCATGGTAT